AAACCCGAGCGTTATTTTATTTAACTATGTTGTCCTAAAACTGCCAATACTAATAGACTCGATAATGATACTACCAATCACATTACTACATCAATCTTAGTTATGACCTAAAACATAAAACACACAAAACCTGACTCTATTTAGGAACCCAGTTTTATTCTGGGCAGCTATGGTGGTACTTACCAATTGTACGAAAACTTGTGTGTGTGTTCCCAATTTTTCGCATTAAATAATCCATACCAAACACAAGACAAAAATTACCGTTTTAGTAATAATTAAACACAAAATTTTAGAAACCCTACAGGAACTAAATTGTTATATATTATGTGGATTATATCCAGAGGCATCGAAAGACGTTTTGTATACGACAATGTAAGTATCCACAAGCGCATATCCGCCGAGGGAAATGTATTTTGAACTAGGGTCTTATTAGGACAGAAAATGTACTGTTCTTTTGGTTAGTTATTGTTTCCTTGTTAGCCTTATTTGTATTGTTTCATAACAAAATGTAGTTTGAATGTATGCTGTTTTGACGCGGGCTGACATATCTACTCTTTAGCCTATTGGCAAAGTTTTGTAGTGTTTATATAGCTGTTGTGGAGGATATCATGAAGCCTTGTTCCGATTAAAAAAACTAGAGCGTAGTTATTATATAATTTTAACTTGAAACGGGTCACGGGAGACCCGAACACAACATAAGGGTTAAGTAACTTCTAAAGGGTGAAAAACTGAGTCAAGCCACATTTAGTCCAAGTTAAAGTAAGTAAGCAAGCATATCAATAAAAGTGAGTGTTGGCGACAGTAGCTATTAACTCTTGGCTTTGCATTTATATAACAACGTTCTTTACTTTCAGCAGAGCAGCCTGCAGCTACTGTATTGCTATTTGTCACACATGGCTTGAATCAGATATATGGTTTGCTAACAATCTGCAAAGTGCATACAAGTCCTTTCACTCTGACTTTTATTTCTATCCAGGTTGGGACTTGACCTCCACATTAAATGAACAGTTCAAGGCAATGAATAGGAGGCAATTGTTTTGCACAGTGGAACCTGGCAGGCCGCTTGCCACATGGAGCCTATGTGACCACAGACATTTGTCACAAGCAAGGTCACTGAGCAGTCTAAGGCAAACAACACGTCTGTGTCCTTCACGTACTTTAACCTGTGAAAATACCAACATACGCTTTGTCCTAAAGATAGTTTTAAAATGTACTATTCCAAAGATGTTCTAAACTGTGAAGGTGAAATATGAAGTCTACAAGCTCCTGTAAGTAATTTCATATTCAAACCAAACTACCAAATTCAGTTTTAGCTGCTTTCTACTGAACATTTCATCCCTGGAAAATGTCATTTTATCCATGAATGATGTTGACAAAGGCAGCATTATACTCAAGTGTTCCTGTGGGAGTCTTACAGTTGATGGTTCTATTACAACACTGTTACTTTGTCTCGAATTTGTGTTTACCCAGCTTGTAATTGGATGTTTCATAAAAGAGCTGAGTTGTCATTGGTATGTATTACAAAAGGAGCAGATGACTGAAAGGAACATTCTAAGATTGCTTTGGGGAAAAGGAAAGACTGGGTCATATTTGGTAATTAAGCTAGCGTAATTCAAAACACACAAATTGGAGACTGTTGATGATTGAATGAAAATCCACCTCACGTCTTTATGGCCTTTAGGGAAAACTACAACTACACAAATTAAAAAATACATTTCAATATCAGCCATTCTTCTTCAGGTTGTGGCTAAATGAAGTAGGATTGGCTTTTTTGTAAAGCAGCTTGTAAGAAGTGAATGTGTATGAAAACACAAATGGTATTTCTCAACTCCTGCCAAAATCACACTTGTCCTTCATGTGGGCTAAATCTGTGTCAGGAAACAGATGGGGTGTCAACATGCAAGAGACAAACACTTATAGTTAAATACAGTGCAGCTGCCACACCTTTTTCTGCTTCTTAAAATACCAAACATTCAAAACATCCATTGCATAAGAAAGATAAAAAACAGTTCAGTCTTGATGGTGGTTTACTGGTGATTCAGAGACATATTTGATAGATGTTTGCAACCTAACCATCATGTGTCCGTTGCCGTCTGTACAATGACACAGCAGGAAAAAGCAGATGATTTGACAGAGTTAATTTGAGGTTTAAATCTTGGCATCTTGACAGACTGACAATCAATCAACATTACGATTGCAGCCCTAGCTTGTCAAAAAGCATCCTCGATAAAATCAACTGACATCGTTTTTCTAAAGTGATGAATGTTAAATAGAGAAAGCAGGCAGGCTGCTCGAAAGCTTACTGACTTTTCCCCTAAAGGCCTGCTTGGACTAAGGACATTTTTGGTTTAGTTAAATTTGAGAGAAATTATTTAAGCCACTGTTTAATTAATGCTGCTACTCCCATGTGTGGACATGTACTGTTCGGATGCAGTGTGGCTGGGGGACTGTATTTAAGAGCGTGTGTGTGTGTGTGTGTGTGTGTGTGTGTGTGTGTGTGTGTGTGTGTGTGTGTGTGTGTGTGTGTGTGTGTGTGTGTGTGTGTGTGTGTGTGTGTGTGTGTGTGTGTGTGTGTGTGTGTGTGTGTGCGCGTGCCACTGACCTTCATCTCCCCTGGTTATTCCAGCAGCCATTTATCTTTTATTCATTCTGCCTTTTGTGACCAAGGCAGCTTCTCTGGCACTGACGCTTGTCAAAACAGACCCCGTCCCACTGCAGTGTGAACGGCCTGCACTATAACAGCTGATGATAATTTAGACTTGCTGATGCCATTCCTAAGATTTCACTCTTGCAGTGAAAATATAATTGGATGATTTAGTACATCCTCCTATTATCAGTTGTCTGCAGTCGCTCATGGAAAAGACACGCTCACCAGTCACCACTGTTGTTGTTCACACTGCTAGTTTCATGAAGCTTCAGACTGAGCATGCAACTCCAACACCTGTCAGCAACTCAGCATGTGTCTCAATGACAGGTGTACCCGCAAAAACTAACGGAGGACATATTCTGGGCTCCTTGCTTACTGTTTGTTTAATACTCTCCACCTGGCTATGTGAGCTTTCAATTAATCAGTTTACCAAGTCGCTTTTAGAAAACAAAGCATAACGAGATGTGATTTCCATTTTTGGCATCATTTCAACAGCCCAGAAATAACTTATTTTATAAAAAACACAAAAAAGGCCCATACCAAAGTAAAGTAAGCCACCATAAGCCCCAGACCAGCTCTTTATACGTACTCCATAATTACCACTTTTTCTCCTCATTTGATGTGTCGATAGTGATAGCAGAGAGCATTGTCAGTGAACATTTCCTCAGGGTATAAACTGGATTGAACGGGGTGACTGCAAAAGGCCATGGAAAATTATTCACATCATTTTCAAAATCATCAAACCATTCAGCGAGCCCTCTCGTGTCAAGGAATTTGCATTCATCGTGTTTCAACTCTTTTCCTCAGGTTTTTTTACTTTGTATTTCACCCATCTGTAACTTAAAGCGTATGGCTCTATTTCTGCGCTTGCCCTCTTCAAAATTGCTATTGACCTTGCAGAACAAAGAAAGTTTGCTAACTCATCTAAAATCAGTTGTAATATACAGTGAGGTCTTTGTCTATGTGTGGTAGAATATGAAAAGATCCACAAATTCTTTCAATATACTCTTCAGCTTCAAAGAAAGGCTCATAGCTGCTGTATATCACACCTGCTTTGGCCACAATAATACATATTTCAATACCAGTGAATGACGTTTTTACACCTTTGGACTTTACAAGGTCACACAGAATAGAAATGAAAAAGAAAATGGCTGGAAATAACCTCTGTGGAACCCCATTGATTTTACTGACACAATGATAGGAGAACTTATCTCAGCCACTTAAACCCCAGTGATGGTTACCACCAAGATTAAGTCTCATTTAAACGCACGCTGATTTCTCAAGTTGTTTCACTGAAGGAATAAGGAAAGACATTTTTATGGCGAAAATGAGATCCTACCCGGCAGATAATGACGTGATTCGTCTCTAGGGTCATTCTGATTCTTCCTTACTAGTCATCAGCTCTCAGTCAGCCCCTAGTTCTACTTTGTGAAGATCTCATTACCGCTCTCACTAAACCCATCTCCCCTGATCACCCCACAAAAAAGTTAATTAGTCTTGCAGAAGACTCCATACAGCTGTTATTATCTCTTATTTCCCCCGAATAGGTACGTAGGAAGTGGCAGAAGTGTCACCTTCCTCCTCTGGGACCTGAGAAGCATCTCGGTGAACAACAAAGCCTTTCTTGTGGGTTGGTTGACATCAGCTAATACAACCGTTATTAGAGGAGAAACACTTCCAGATCTAACGATGCAAACTTGATGTGACATGTGTCAACCTGTGGTTCTAGTCATTATTTTCTCTTCGCCTCGACTCTACCCCGCTGAACCTTTCTTGTAGTTGACTTATTTTATCTGCAGCCTTTGATGGCGGATTGTAAATACAAGGCCATCATGTTTTCTGTTGCTGTCAGGGTTAGCTCTTGACACCCGGTGATGGATCTGTTCATCCGTTTCTTTGTGCTGCTGCTCTTTTAGTTTTTAAGCAGAGAAATGCTGCACGACTGTCACTGTTTGTGCTACCCTCAGGAAATTAATCCTTAGCATTTGTCATTGTGATTCATACAATCATAGACAAGCTCAGATTTTGCTTTTGCTGAATACAAACAGCAGCTTATTGTTGAGTCATATACGTCTTCAGGGGGATTCTGGTATTCAAAGGTACTAATTGGCTGACATTTGAAACATTGCATCCAATTCTAGAAATCACAACTTGTTCAGCACACGGGAGTTATTTACATATTCATAAAAATATCTGTTTGTATGCATCCTGCCAAAATACAGACATTTTTAATCATACAAACAAAACAACAACAAACTTCACTCTCAGCTTTAACAGTTCTTGTTTTAAATGTATATAATGAATATTCTCTGTCTCTTCTAACCATTTTGCCTTCCCTCTTTGTCTTTTCCAGATGATAACTGCAGACTGAGTGAATACCGTCGACTGAAAACCAAGATCTTGGATCTGCATGACAAGCGATACATGGGGTCTAACATCCACGGGGCCCACAAGGACAACATGGCAGCCAGGAAGCACCTGGTTGATCTGATGTTCAAACGTTTTGATGCAGATAACAATGGTCAAATCGATGCCAGCGAGCTCTCACAGGTAAGGCTATCAAACAAAAGAAGAGCTTAAAGCTTGCCTAGGTAGAAGCCAGCAAGAGTAAGATAATTCCTTTTTTCTCCAGCCCATCATTCGCCAACTCTATTGCAAAGAAGGTAGCTGTGAAAAATGCAAAATCGGGCAAAATAGTCTTGCAAGCCACAACTTAAACAGAGCCTTTAGTAACATGATTGGATACATAATAAAGAGTATTACAAATAGGCCAACATTTTTCTCAATTACCTTAACCACCTTAGCCTTAAAAGACAATACAAGTTTGTTTAAAAAAAAGAAAGTGTAAAATGTACTCAGATAATTAATGGCATTAAGTTAATATACAATAACTAGAGCTGATCTTATGAGGTTTTCAAATGTATTATTTATTCACAGGAGACCTTTTAATTTAATTTAATTGTGTCCCCCAAATATAAATGTAGGCTTAGGGGTTAGGGTTACTAACACTATATACAGCCCCTCTATAGTCTGTCAAAACCACATCTCATTTATAATTTAACATCCCTCCAAATGGAGAACACAAAAGAACCAAACATCTGCGTGCTCTGGTGTTTAAACAAGCAGCATTGAAGCCTGTCATAATTGTGTCCATTTTACTCCTCCTACCCTTCCCTCTGGTCGCAGTGGTGTGCCGCTCTACAGTAGGTAAATCTTTTGAAAAGCAATGTGGGTAAAAGGAGTCTTGTGCTCACGGGAGGCTGCAGCCTTTTCACCAGTAGGGACGGTTTGTGTCTGCCACGAGGAAGGAAGATTCTCTGCATAACAAATAACATCTCCCAGTACCTGAGGACTGACTTAATGCAGAAAGTATTTAAATAATTGAAAGTGTAAGCAACCTACAGTGGTTTTCAGAAACATGAAACCACTTCCTGTCCTGAGGTCAGGTTCCTGCTGATCCAGTAGGATCTCCCATCTGCACGGGGGTCACCTTGCTTAGCTCTGTCAGTGCCCTCAAGTTGCTCAACAGGGGAGCTCTCCTTGGATTCATTTGAATATATTTCAGTATTTTAGGTTCAAAGCATCCAAATAGCACTTCAAAAGTAGTGATATTCTTGTCATATTATTTACATATTTTTACATGTTTTTAAATTTACTTTGTGCCGTGCGCCTGCACGACAGAAATCGATGTTCAGTGAATGAAATGCAAAGTCAACAAACCATGTTGTGCTGTGTTTTATGGAATAATATTATCAATATGCCCTCAATGTGAATTTGAATATGCCCTTAAAAGCTTTTGGATATTACACTCATTCTCCTGCATGCCAAGATGTGTCACTCTCCCGAGGTGTTTGAAAGACACGAGCTAGTCAGTAATACTAAACGTCCAGATGGAGAATCTCTTTTCTGGGGGCTCCTCAAGTCCAAATCCCCTTTTTATCCTTGACACATACTGTATGGGAATGTTGGCAGACTTCATACACTTCATACAGTTCAAATCTACAAAAAATGCTCAAAGAGAGGATGATAAGTGAGTATTTAAATATTAGTAGATTGCAGATGGCCCTTTTAGGATTTCCAACTGAGTTCTTTTTGCACGCATGAATACATTCATGGCCCTCTCAGACTTTGAGGTGCACATAGCTGTTTGGGAACACTGGGTTAGCAACTTTTCCATTATGTTCTTCAGCTTTTAAATCAAGATTATGGGTATGAGCTTTGTGGTTTTATTTACACACATCTATAGCCTAAACATTGTTGGAGAAATTGAGCTTCTGCTTGCTTTCACCTCACATCCAAATTACTGCATTATAAATTATGAATTATTGCATGATTAATATCTAAGCAAAATAGCTTCATCAATCTGTTAAATGTTGGTAATAAACAAAGGCGGTTAGATAATGCCTCCACATAAGGGCGCCTGGATTTAATTATGGAATGGGTGTTTAATGAGTTTTTATGTTGGTGTATTAAAATGTTCCAACGTAATGCAATTTCAAAGTAATTAATTGCTCAGGACATGCAGTTTTCTTTGCTCTTCAGAGGATGTGAGTTGTACAGATCATACACTATGTCTAAAGATTGACTTAGATTTAATTGTCAGGGAAATCTGCATAGTACAGAAGAGTTTTGCCTTATTGACAAAAGTTGAAAGGGTATTTAATTTATGCAAAATCTAATGTTTTTCAAAAAAATAACCATTGCGAAGAAAATCACACTCTTATCACCAGTGAAAAGAATCAAAGCATGGCGGCTGCCCCCGTGCCCTGAAGCCCCCTTTTATAATTGGAGTGTTTTTTTCTCACATTTGAGATTCTGGGATGTAAATGTCTCAGCCTGGCTTGCTTGACTTGCGAGAGTGTACACATGAAGGGGCACAGGGAGCAATTGTCCCTGCCCTTTGATTCTTGGGTGCCCTTTTAAAATGGCAAGTCAAAACGTATTCTTTCTTCTTTCATTGCATAAAGAAGGTCTGCCTGAAATGATAACTTTTAGCGACTGAGGTGTGTCCATCCCAACTGTGTCTAAAAACAAGGAGGATAAAGTTGTAGATCGTAATACACACACATCTGATTTCCCTATTTTTTAAGTATTTATTTTTTAAACTTTTCAATTAGAGACGCTTAAAACAAAAGGCTACCGGCTTTGAAGATAAAGTGCTTGTTTGTCGTTTAACACAATTATTATCTGCACATATCTTGATAAAGATTTGGATTTTAATTATGAAATGAGTGTGCACCCAACACTTTAAGCACCTGACTAGAGCAATTACGGTGGTAATCATGGCCCTTGTCTAGACCAGAACATTTTTAATGAATGCGCAACATATTTGAAAACACAGACGAGGTCTGCACTCCAACGTCCTTCAACATGCTCTTAACCATGCGTGGGATTTTGGCGAATTCATGCAGAGGTTTAACACGGGACATTTTCTACAGTAAAATGGGAGAAATTGGATAAGCATGACTTTGAAATGTTATTGAAGTGTTAGGGTATTGTTCAATTTAAGTAAAAAAGGACAAGAGACAATCACATTTTTATCATATCAACTGATTAAAGAATGAACATAATTATATTATTAAGCTTAGTGAGTAAAAAAGGACAAGAGACAATCACATTTGTATCATATCAACTGATTAAAGAATGAATATAATGATATTATTAAGCTTATTAACAATGCAGGTTCAGAATCAAATGGTTTTATATAGAAATAGTAAGAGACAGCAGGATTCAGATACAGTTTGATCTTGCCAACAGCCTTGAACGTATAGTGACCATTACTGTGTTTTTTAGAATTACATACACCAACTTGTAGCTATAGTACATGCTTATGATACCAACTAAGTCCTGTGTATCACTCAAATGAGTATACAATGTTATGAAGCTATACAAATGTATGTGTTTGACATGTGTTGTATTCAACTAACCTGTCAATGCTCTATCTATTGGCTTTGCAAATCATGCTTAGTTTTGCATTCTCAATAAACATTAAATTTGGTTATGGCTTCGATGATGTGTATTAGTTTTATTCCGCTCAAGGGGGCTGATGGAAGCTGGGAAATATGTCCTTGCTACTCCTACTGTGGTTGAATAGTCACTTGCCACAGAAAGAAAGTTATTGCAAATATCTGCAGTTACCAACATTAATCTAAAGTTTGTGTGTGGGGACTAATGTCATGTCAGGAAATATTTAAGAAATGGAGTTTAAGCATCAAAGCATGCGACTCCTACACCACTTACAAATCTCTCAAAGGCCACCTACATTACTTTAAGTCAAAGCAAGGACTAGGGAGTGAAGAATATTTTAGAGTTTCAATACCTGAGTAAGTGTTCCTTACCACTAACTCAATGTTGGATCAACTGAATATTATGAAATACTTTCAAGATAGATAGAGGGAAAAAAATTACCAGCTAATAAATCATGTACGAAAGAAACACACAGCTCTTGTGTATACCACCGTTATTTGTGAGAATCCATGGAGGATATGCCATTACAGGTGACCCCTACATTGTGGTCGGTCCTCAGGGAAGGGAAGTGCAGCGATCCGACGGACGATGCATGATGTATAAAGCCGTCCGTTGTGATCAGCATTTTGACAGCTGATTTCACATGATGGATGTTTCACTGCCAGGGCCATGCGGAGGGGGATAAGTGAGACCAAGCTTTAGCCAGATGATGATCAAATCTGCACAATGTTTGGGGCCTAGTCTCCGTCTGTTTTAACGAAGCTTCAGTTTGGATGACAGCAAATACTGTTTGTGTTTTATCAACTTTGACATTCAGCATGTTGAGGTTAGGCACCTAATGTTGATTTATACCGAGAGCGTATCCAAACTTTTCAAAGTAAACAGTAGATTTTAAGAATACTCAGAGTTAGCAAACGTTAAGTACTTTTTCTAATGTACAATATATACTTGTATTAAGTGTTTACTTTATTGTATATTTTCTTTAATGCTACTTCATGGTTTTACTCTTCTTCAGAGGATAATGTGTTACCTTTTTAATTGTATTTAAAGAAGAAAGCGACACTTCAACAAAACTGTCTTCATCAGGGTTCAGACACTCAATGCAAATATTATAAATATGTATCCGTGAAATACATTCAAATCATTCTAATTCAACTTTGAAGCATGCTTAGTTTTATGTTATCTGATACTTGATGAGTAGATACAAAAGTGGCCATCAATTAAACCAGGCGACAATCTTGCCTTCAAACTAATCATGTTCCTAAATATAGCTCTCAAAACTTGAATGGTTGTTGTTGTTGTTACTAGCAGATATTACATTGCAGATCAGATATTAAGGCTGTAAACAATTAAAATATGTTGTCAGGGAACATTTTACTTAAGATGTTCAGAATTTGAGACTTGCCAAATACATTTATCTTTAAACATTTTTCACTGTTGAAAGAAAAGTCTGTCTTTAACAACACATCAATTCTTTGTCCTCCAAGGTTATCAAGCAAGAAGGTCTGTCCAAGGATGTCTCCGAGTGCACATTGTTCGATCTGCTCAAGTACAACGACGTCAATGACGACGAGCACCTGTCAAAAGAGGAGTTTTATACGGCTTTGGGTAAGTGCACAGATTTCTGGGTAAAGTTTTATACCGTTAGAAAAAAAGAAATTTGTTGGAAGTTTGTGAAGTGTGTCAAAGGCTTAACAATGTCCCAGGAGTAGGACAAGGCAGCATATTGTTGTGCCCACTTTTAACAAAGACGACAAGCAATGATAAGAAGTGAGATGTTTCAGTTCTACTAAGTCATTGCTTCCATCATCTTACTCTGTGATCGTTGTGACAAACGTTTTGGCCTCAACAGAAAACTTTCATCTAATGACGTTTCCATTTATTCATTTTAAATGTTATATTTGATTAATACTTAGCTTCTCTTCCTGGTTCCTCTCATACAAGGTAGAAAGGTTATCTAATTAAAGAGCATCTTGCAGGTTTTTTTTTTTTCCACATTTATGCTTAAACTTGCTTGAAAATGACAATTAAAAAAGTGAATGTAGGATTTGATAGCAAACTGCATACTGGAATTTTTTTCGCAAAAATTCTCGTCTCGAGTTTTAACAGGAAAGGCGAGACTTAAGGACGGGAATACAG